AAACTGGAACAAGSAGCCTTTGAACCCTCGAGCCTTGGTSTTCACAGCCAGGAGACAACGGAGCMAATAGGAGCCTGACTTSTGTCCACACAACAGCTTCTCCAAGCTGCTGCCTGCGGATGAAATGTCTCTGTGGCYCTTGAAGTCTACACCTAGAGGTGGCAGGACCTGTGAACGGACTTGGTTGTCTTATGTGCCCCAGCTTTGGTCTTCAGCACAAGTGCTGAAACACTTAAGTGTTCTGTGGTCCCTTTCCTGTCTTTCTACAAAAGCAGCTGGGTGGAAAGCGTGCATAAACAGCAGAGGAAAGGGAGTCTGTGGTGAAGTGCTGTAGGCACCAGAGGCCGTCTCAAGTGGTGCTCTCATGCTGAGCTCCCTGAGACTCTCCGTTGCAGGGGAGGGAGGCTGAGGCTGCCTGTGGAGCCTGTGAGGCTGCCTGAGGCTGCAACGGGCTCCTGGACATGCAGGAAGCTGCGGGCTGGGTTGCAGCTGGGCCCTCCCTTCCCGGGGGGYTTCAGGTTTCTTAACGTGCCCCTCTCTTTCTCACCCGCAGAGCTCAGACAACATCCCCCCAGGATACGAGCCCATTTCCTTGCTGGAAGCTCTGAACGGCCTTCGCTCGGTGTCGCCCTCCATGCCGTCAGCTCCTCTGTATGACGAGATCAGCTACTCTGGCGTGGTGGATGGGATGTCCCCCGCGAGCCGGCCGCTCGTCGGCAAGGACAGAGCTGTGGAGAGCAGCCACCAAAAGGGCAAGCRGAGCAAGTCTCCAGACAGGTCAGCACGGGAAGGGGGGCTGCTCCSCTCGCAAGCGCCGAGGCTGCAGCTGCCCGCGCTGCGAGACGGGAGAGGCTCTGGCTGCYCCCGCCTGCTCACACTGATAACTCAACAAGGGGAGGTCCTTGTGCCACTGAGGTCCCTCATGCCAGCGACAAGCAGGTCCTCGTGCCTGTGAGAACCTTGAGACGCTACCCCCGTGTTAGGCCTGGGGCATCCAGCTCACTTCTCCTTAGAGCTGGGTTTGGCAGGAATGGAAAGGGCGTTTTTGACAGGGAGATTTCATCCAGATTCTGGAAGTTTCTACCTTTCCTATGTAATTAGCATCTCAATTTGCATTTGACATGCAAACTGTATTGGATTTCTGCTGTGAAATTCACAAGAAAAAGTCAAAAGAGGAAGCCCCTGCTCTCTGAGGCCTCTTCTGTTGGCTTTGAGGTGGAGGATGTAGATCCTGTGGGTTGGGTGCTGGGCCACTCCTAAAGCAGAGCTGGATCAAACCGGGTTTGTTCCTGGTTCTCCTCGCTGTTCAGCTGCTGGTTTCAGCACCTCCTTACCAGCAGCAAGTCATTGCTTGCTGGGAGAAATTCAGCCCAGAGCTCAGCAGTGCCCCAGGTGGCCAAAGCCTTGTCCTGGCTAGAGTGAAAGGGAAGAGGCTGCCCATGTAGTTTGAGTGAGGTCTGTGTCTGCTCCGTGGTTTCACCCCTCAAATTTCCTCTGGGAAGGGAGCTTCGCAGTGGAGCTAGAGCCATGGAGGTCCTGGAGGAGCCTGAGGGAGAAGGCAGGTCGTGTTGGTGCTCCTGAGCTCTGCACAGCTCATTTCTGCCCCTGAAATGGTGCTGCTGCTGTTCTCCATGCAGAGGATGTTGGAGGCCCTTGGTGAATTTAGCTTTCCAGTCTGAGCTCCCGGTCCCGTGTGGTGGTGGTGGAAGAGGATGGGGCAGAGGAACAGGGCAGGGGCAGTGAGAGCTCGAATCGCTGCTGGAGGCCGCCGAGGCCTGGGGTGCTGGGGCAGGGGGCCCGCTTGTGAACGAGGTTTCTTCCCCCTCAGCACACTGCGGTCTCCCTCGTCGCCCATCCACGAGGAGGATGAGGAGAAGCTCTCCGAGGACTCCGACTCGCAGCCGGTGCTGAGCGGGGGCGAGCTGGTCCTGAGGGAGACCAGCTCTCCGGAGGTGAGTCGTGCCCTGCCAGGGAGCTGCCCGGGGGCAGCTGCCTCCATTTACCTGTGGGGGTYCATGGGGCAAGGGGTCCATGGGGCAAGGGCAGTGCTGCTTTAATGTCTTTGGAAAYGTGGGTGCTTGGAGCGCTGTTTGGCTGCTGCTGGGGTGTGTTAGAGCTGCAAACCCTCTGTCCTGAGACGCAGTTACTGCTGGGACCCTCGTGCCCTCCCTGCAAGTCCCTGGCCCTGTGYGCAGCTCTCTGGAGAGCGCTGGAGCAGAAGACAAGTGCAGCACAGGCCCCGGCCCGCAGCAGTAACCGTGTTCTTCCTCCCTGCAGAGCATGGCTGGGGAGGAGATCGAGGAGGCCTCGTCCCTGCAGCAAGGTGAGCGTGCGCTCGGCCTTGCAGGTGAGCAGGGCTTGGCTCCGGCTCCCGCTCCCCTCTGTTGGAAGGGGGACGTACGTGCAATTGTAGGGGCATGGACATGCAAGTTCAGCGACATCCAGACCCTGCAACCCACCTCTAGGCTGCCCCATTTCACCAGAGAAAGTTGCCAGGGTCTCTCTTGGGACACAAAATCAACAGATCAGCTTGGTTTCTTGGTCAAGCACCTCTCTTTGAAGCAAGCTCTGCACAAGTTGCTGTGTTKGCAGCAGCAGAGCGGGGCTCCTGTCCTCCCCATTGACCATGTTTCCATGTTCAGACTTTGCCCTGGGCTCCTCACACAGTTGCTGCCCACCGTGAGCAGCACCACAGGTCCCGTTAGCTGGCAGCGGAGCAGCGTCAGGCTGTGGATCCAGCTTCTCCAGGGACACTGTCTGTAGCTGCTCATGCTGTGGGGTGTCCCTTGGGCAGCACGTCCCCTGCGTGGCCCTGGTGAGACGTCCTGGCCGTGCGGGATGCCCTTGTGCCAGCGGGACTGGTCTCAAGGCGCAGAGGGTGGCAGGGACTCACGGGTCTTGCTCCCCGCTGCTTCCAGGCAGCCGCCCTCCCTCCGTCGAAGACGTCCTGCAGGACGGCAGCTGCAGCGAGCACAGGAGCCTGACGCAGGCCGAGAGCGACCCGCCCGTGGACGTCTACCTGCCAGGTAACGGCCGCGTCGTGGGGGGACGGAGGCCAGAGCCCGCCTGGGCCCCGGGCCCCGCTGCAGGCTCCCGCGGGGGCTGCGGGCTGCCCGTGTGGGGCAGGGGCTGCGCCCCAGGCCAGGACAGAGTCTGCCTYGGGCTGCTGCGCGCCCCGGGAGCAGAGCAGCCCGGGCTGACGCACAGGTAACCTGCCCTCCCGCTCTCCTCCTCCCAAGCCCTTTTGTCTCTGTCCTTCCCCCCCTTCCTCCTTTCTCCTCTCCGGGCTGCAGCTGCCGGCTGGCGCCAAGCCCCTGTTGTGTGCAGGGCCTTTGTGTGCCCACCCTGTGTCCCAGCGGGGCCGGGCGCTCCCCGTGTCCCTGCCCATCCGCAGCGCTCGCTCCCGTGCACGGGAGGGCGGGTGAGGGCCCGGCATGGCGAAGGGGAGCCCCATCCCGCGGCGGGGAGGGCTGTGGCGCGGCCGGACGCGGYGCTGCCGCGGCCCCACCGCGGTTCATGCAGCCTGTTTTCTTCCGTAGAGTCGCAGTCTGTTCTGAGCACCTCTCTAATGTCTCCTTCCCTTTCTGTCTGCCTTCCTCCTCCTGTCTTGGGCAGCACTGGGTCCTGATTCCTGCTCTATTGGTATAGAGGAGTAAGCTGGTACGTGTTCTTGTTCTTGTTACCTGGCGCTCTTGGGGGGCAGCAGGAGCCTTCGCGGGGAGGGCAGGATGGCCCTGGGCGGCTGCACGGCTGCCCTGCGTGCCAAGGGCTGCTCCTGGTCCCTGGGGCTGCCTCACCCTTATCAGAGGCGCCCAGAGCTCCTGTTTGCTGGGCAGAGCYGGCCCTCCCGCCCCGGCTCCCTGCCATGCAGGGCCCTCTGCCCCTTCTGGCCTCCCTGTGCCCCACAGGGCTCTGAGCTGCGGGGCCTCAGGCCGCCCTGGTGCCTTCTCCCGAGGGCTCTGGGCACGGGTGCCTCCCTGGGCGCATCCCCGGTGCCTCCCGCCTCCACTGCCCTGCGCAGGGCCGGGGCAGAGCAGGGGGCTGCAGCCTTGCTGCTCCTAAGGGCCCAGCGCCATCTCGGGGGCCCGGGGGCAGCGAGGGCCCCTCGGGCAGCAGGGCTGCTCCCCGGGCCGGGACCCGCGGCCTCAGCCGCTTCTCTCCCCGCAGGCTCCTCCGCCTTCCAGACGCTGCCCGGCCCGGGCGCGGGCAGCCCCACGCAGCCCCTCCTCTTCGAGCAGACGCGTCTCCACGTGGAGGACGAGCGGAGCCGGCCCTGAGCGGAGCGGGGCCGGGGAGCGGGCCGTGCGTGGCTCCCGGGCCAGCCCGGC